TGATTATAACTGTACAGGGCATTAGTGAGACCTCATCTGGAGTTGTGCGTATAATTTTGGTCCCCTCACTTAAGGACGGATATAGTTGCATCAGAGGCAGTTTACGGGAAGTTCATTGGATTGATTCCAGGGTGATGGGTCTGCCCTATGAAGAGAGATTGAGCAGCTTAAGCCTATATTCTGTAGAGTTTAGAAAAACAAGAGGAGATCTAATTGAAGTATATAAGATGCTGAAGGGGGTGGACAAAGTAGACTCAGATAAGATGTTTCCTCATGTGAGTCAATCTAGAATGAGAGGCCATCATTTTAGGATAAGGGGTAGCAGATTTAAAACAGAGATGAGAAGAAATTACTTCTCTCAAAGGGTCATGAATCAATGGAATGCTCTATCCCAGACTGCACTGGACGCTGGCACATTGAGTAAATTTGAGGAGGAGATAGACAGATTTTTAATTAGTAATAGGTTGAAACATTATGGAAAACGGGAAGGAAAGTGGAGTTAAGGCCTAGGTGAGATCAACCATGATCATATTAAATGATGAAGCAGGCTTGAGAGGCGGATGTGCCTACTTCTGCTCTCAATTCTTACATTCTTATGTACATACTTTGCTTAATCTTTACAATTTACAGGAATGATTTAGGACTAACTGTCTAATTAGGGTATTGGTTACCAGATGTAGCTTTCAAAGCAAAAATGGTGCTGTAATCAGGTGGGGGGAGGGGGTGGGGGCTGAGAGATACATTCGCTGACAATGACAAGTAAAGGCTGGATGGACTAGGTCATTACTATTTTTGACGAATTAATATTCATGATAAAAAAGAATGGACAGAAAGAGAAATGTAAAGTTGTGAAGGTTAGACTAAGTAGAAGTCAGAATACTTTGATTTGAGAAGGAAGAAAATGGTAGAGGGAGAAGGGGTCATCAGATGTGATTTATTTTTACATTGCCATGTAAGTATGAAAGGAAAGTATAAACTAGGGCATACGATCTAAATTGTAATTATGGCACATGAAGTAATGTTGCAAGAATGGTACAACTATAAGGTGAATAGCCAAGATCTTTTCCCCAGGGTAGGGGAGTCCAAAACTAGAGGGCATAGGCTTAAGGTGAAAGGGGAAACATTTAAAAGGGCCTAAGGGGCAACCTTTTCATGCAGAGGGTGGTGCACGTATGGAATGAGCTCCAGAGAAAGTGGTGGAGGTTGATACAATTACAACATTTAAAAGGCATCTGGATGGGTATAAGAATAGGAAGCGTTTAGAAGGATATGTGCCAAATGCTGGCAAATGGGACTAGATTAATTTAAGATATCTGGTCAGCGTGGACGAGTCGGACTAAAGGGCCTGTTTCCGTGCTGTACAGCTCTATGACTCGACTAGAAATCTGTTGAATAGTTGAGATGCCTTTTACAGTAATCTGCAGACACTCTCCCTTGTATGCATGCTTGATCAATAAACTGCTGCTGGGTTTACATTTGTAAACTTGTGTTGAGTGTTTTTAGGTACTCCAGAACACTGTATGAAGGGCAGCACGGTGGCTCAGTGGTTAGCACTGCTGTCTCACAGTGCCAGGGATCCGGGTTCGATTCCACCTTTTAGTGATTGTTTGTGTGGGGTTTGGATATTCTCCCTGTGTCTGCATGGGTTTCCTCCAGGCGCTACAGTTTCCTTCCACAGTTCAAAGATGTGCAGGTTAGGCGAGTTAGCCATGCCAAATTGCCCATAGTGTCCAGGGATGTTCAGGCTAGCTGGATTAGCCAAAGGAGATGCAGAGTTACAGGGATAGGGTAAGGAGGTGGGTCTGGGTGGGCTGCTCTTCAGAAGATCGGTGTGGACCCTAACCCGCTTCCCCACTGTAAGGATCTTGTGAATCTAAGTGATAGCTGCAGCCAGAATACAAGAAAAACACCGCAAGCTCAGCATTAAGCGTGGTTGCCAACATGACATCATCACTTTTATACGTCGATTTTCACACCTAAGAAACACTAGCCATTGTCAGGGGGAAATAGCGGACAAGACTATGACAATCATTGACTGCAGCGAGCCACCAACACCAAAATCAAAAGCCCACAATGACATCTGATAACTCTGCATCTCCTTTGGCTAATCCAAGATACCTCATCCCCAATAGATTTGCTGCATATCCATCCTCCTGCATAGATGGACGGATGCTGCTGAAGACTCCTCTCAGCTAAGGCTAAGGTTATTTCAAAACTTTCATCAACTGCCTTCTTCTTTAACAACTGGCAATAATAGGTTGATTAACTCACTCAGTAGCTTGCAACCTAGTACTGAAGACATCTTGAAACAATATGGGCATGAGTCAAACAACACACACCCAGAATACTCAAACTAAGAAATTAAGTTCATATAATCATCTTTCATGAGTAGTTAATCAAAATAATGATATATTACAGTTAGTGTTATTTTATCTTAAGTACCACTAACTATAATTGAATTTGTGTTAACTAAAACTAATATTGCTGTGGAAATATAACCTCCGTGAGACAGAATAAAGCCTCATTAGTTTATTTAAACAGAGATTAGTAAAACAAATTATAAAAGATTTTTGTCAAAGAAAGCTTGGAATCTGAAGTCTATTTTAATGCAACAGAACCTCCAGAATAACTCAAAAATGTGAACTCCTATTCAATGTGTTCCGAGAAAACACAATTAGAATTTTTAGTAGGATGGATTGAAATGTAAAAATACGTTCAATGAGGCATTTTGATCTTCCCTAAGGCTGTTTAGGTCGAGAAGCAGAGCTGCAAGATTTTAATATTACTTGGAATGGTCTAGGAATATTAAATATTTAATGTGATGATAGATTGAAAAGTATGCAATTCTCCAGATTTGGGAATTTCCCTGACCTACTTCCACTTATTAATATACTTGAGTATAGATTGTGCATCATGGCCGTTGAAATTGTTTTTCTCAATAGTGTAAGCCTTTATCAAAGTGCCTGAGTCAATTTTTACCTCTTTTATTTCAAACTGTAGCACCTCACTACCCTTTATATTAAATTTTAATAACCTGTTTATCATTTCCATAAGTCACTTATTGCTCACAGTATGCATATGAGAGAGAGGGAGAAAGAAACAGATGGAAGGAGAGACACAGAAAAAGAGAGAAACAAGCAGAGGAGCGAAAGAGAGAGTAATGGAGATAGGGAGATCAAATTCAATCTGGAAATTCAAGACCATCTGTTCTCCCTCACCAAATGTACACTGCACACAAGCAGTGATGTCTGTAAAATCCCAAAGATTGTCTCTCAGACCTCATTAAAATAGTTAGACTTCTTTTAACTCTTTCAATTCTCTAACAAACATTTAAGTATCTACACCTAGGTATCCTGTACCTAAGAAGGCGCCAAAGCGGCGATGTTACAAACTTTTCACTAGACTCATTCGGCTGCATATGACAATAAAGCCAATTCTAGACTAAGGATGGCAATGCAAATTAAGTTCTGGAACAGCTAATAATCAATGGTTGGGAAAATCGATATTTTACTTCATTTATTCATTTTTGCAGTGTGAGCATCACTGGTAAGACTAGAACTTATTGTCCTTCCCTAATTATCCTCAAGAAGATTGTGGTGAGGCACCATCTTGAACTACTACAGTCCATATAGGGACAACCACAGTGCTGCTAGGGAGGGAGTTGCAGGAATTCAATTGAGAGATGCTGGAGGCATAGCAATCTACTTTCCATCTGCAAGACAAGGATGGTAGGGAGACAGGCAGTTGGGGGAGATGAGACTGGGGCAGTTGGGGCGTGTGGGTCGCTGGCAAAGCAAGTAGTTGTGGGGAGGGTATGGACAAAACATGTTGGGGAAGCTAATAGCTGCAAAGGAGGGGAAGAAGCCAGTGCCAGCAAAGGGAAAACAGGGGAAGAAGCTGTCAAAGAGAGCCTGTCAACGAAGGAATACCTAGCTAACTGGGAAGCAGGAAATCTTGAAGTCGTAACAATTAATGCCTTGCAAACTAATATGTTTTTTATGAAATGTGTGTCATTGAAAAAAATACCTTTCATTGCTAACTTATGATTGGTACCTTGAACCAATTTAAATACTGCCATGACAATGGAGGAACTTCCTCGGAACTTACTAAGATATTGAACTTTAAATGCAGCATGTGTTTTTATAATTAAAGGACATGTAGCCAAAAGATAACTGTGGATGTACATTCAGTGGCAACATGGATACAAACTTGGCTGAAGGATAGGAAATAACGTAATGGACATTTTCAATCTGGAGGAAGTTTACAGTGGAGTTCCCAGGGAATCAGGGTACTGGGACCTTTGCTTTTCCTAAATTACTTAGATGTAGGTGTGCAGAGAGCAGTTACAAATTTTGCAGATGACACAAAACTCAGAAGAATTGTAAACAGAGAGTGAAATAACTCCACAGGGGCCGGTATCCTGTTACGAAGCTATCCTTTATTTACATCCTTTATTTAGCACTGATCTAGCTCTTTCAGAGCCAGCTCTTAGCATGAACAGAACCTCTGACACTCCTGTCAGCCAGGTCTCCCTGATTGGGGCTGTACCCTGATTGGACCAGATTAACAGCCCCAATCAGGGATCTCATTCTAAGAAGTCCACCTGGCTGACCTCATTATAATCACTAGTGAGGTGGACAATGTAGACATTGACCTGTTGGTGTAGTGGGTAGATAGGTGGCTGATGAATTTCACTGCAGTGAAATGTAAAGTAAAACATTGGCCCAATAGTGTTTTACATGATCCAGCCATCAATCTTAAAAAAGAATCACCAAAAATATCTTTGTTCTCATTGAGGGTACTTAATTTTTCAAGCAACCTTTATTGAAAATCCAAGTAATAACTGCTACAGGTTGTTCCAACAAAATAGATGATGCAAACTATAAGCATTTTTCTTTTTCATGTTTCAGCTCTGTTGCTGCCTTTAACATCCCCTTTGTCTGTCTTTTACATTTAATTTGCAGTCAAGGAGATACATTTCATTTAATTTTGCAACTTACCCATTCCCTTCAGATATACCATTCAATAAAGGTGTTTTATCATTGAAATCATTGCCTTGCAACTTGGAGTTGAAGAGTTGGTAGTCTAAATTCCTTGTTGCACTGGACTGGAGCCTAAAACAAGAAAGGAATGATAGAATTTAATTTGAAGATCATTCAGGTATATTGGCTTAGAATTTCTTATCATGGCAAAATCCACCAGACATGCCATAAATTGTGTCATTTTGGTCATCAATCTAACCAATGCTAATTTATTAAAGAGAAAAATAAAATGTTGCATTTATATTGTGAATATTTTTATGACCACCAATAGAATGTCCTAACCAATGAAGTAGTTTTGAAGTTTAGTGGCTGTTGTTGTGGGAGAGGCAGGGACATATTGTCAAAAGCAAACTCCCCAAAGCAGCAATGTGGTAATGACCAGATAATTGGTTTGATGATGTTGATTGAAAGCTGCATTGTGGCCAGCAGACCAAAGACAGTGCTCCTACTTCTCTTCAAAGGTGAACCGTGTAATTTTTTACATAAATTTGAGGGGCATATAGAGCCTCAGTTTGCCACCTCATCCAAAATACGGCACCTCCAATGGTGCAGCATTTCACCCAAGAATGATGTGTTCAGATCCTGAAATGCGTCTTGGAACTAGAATGCTTATTCTGACTCAGGAGGTGACAACTGAGGCACAACTGACACTCCAACATTTACTCCAGGATATCCTGGTTTTCTTGTTAGGTTTGCCACAGCAACAGATCAGAGGCGAGGAGAACAAAGTCCACTCAAACTTGGAATGTTCTCATTTTCTAATGGATGGTGCCAGTGCAAGAAACTCTGGCTTTAGCTACATTTCCATCTGCCTGTCTGTATAGAGCAATTTTGAATTGAATTCTAAACTACATTGGCACTATAATGGCTTTCCTAAATGAAATCGCTCACTGAGAAACTGAGATTTCCTGCTCGCTTTAAGAGCAAGGGCACAAGGACCTGATCAGAACCGTTTGATAGGTGTTGTTGCTGCCCAGATAATCTAGATCAAAATTGAATTACCAGAGATTAAACTAAATTCATCTCAATCTGGTTCTTTTTATTCTGATTTGATCGGAATTAATTTAAAAGTACAGATTACTTTGCAAAATTTCTTTACTTTATCTTCATAGAATGTGCAGGCTGGTGGCTCTGGTGGGGTCAAAATGGATTAAATACAGTAAAACATGTTCATTTGAGAAACATTTGAAACAAAAATGCTAAATCCACTTTGATAAACCAAAGGGAGTCAAAATTACTCCAATAGAACAAAACAGTCATTCACAACTAATCTTGCAGAATCATAGATTTGCTTTCAATTCACTTGGAAAATATTCACCCTAACACCATAAAAATAGAAGCAGAAGTAGGTCATTCAGCCCTTCAAGTCTGTTCTGCCATCCATTGAGGTCATGGCTTATCTGATAATCCACTTGCCTGATTTTACCCCATAACCCCCTTTCCCTTACTGATTAAAAATCTGTCTCGGTCTTGAATATATTTAGTGATCCAGCCTCAACAGCCTTCTGTGGTAAAGAATTCACAAGCCTCAGAGAAAAAAAAATCCTCCCAATCTCTGTCTTAAATGAATGAGCCCTTATTCTGAGATTACATCCTCTGGTCATAGATTCTCCCAAAAAGGGAAACAACCTTTCCACATCTACTCTGTCATCTTGTGTGTTTCAATAAGAACACCTCACATTCTTCTCTATTCTAGTGAGCAGAGATCCAATCTACTCACCCTCTTCTCATAAGACAGTGCCTGCATACTTCGTATCACCCTATTTAAACTTCACTGAACTCCCTCCAATGCCAGTGTATCTTTTTTTTTTATCCATCATACATAATTACCATTGGCAATAATTTTTTTCAATGTTAACTGAAGCAAAACTGACAGTAAGACTACAAACCAAATTTTGTTTTTCTTTATTCATTCATAGGATGAAGGCATCGCTGGCTAGGCAGCATTTATTGCCCATCCCTAGTAGCCCAGAGGGCATTAAGAGTCAACCACATTGCTGTGGGTCTGGAGTCACATTTAGGCCAGACCAGGTAAGGATGTCAGTTTCCTTCTCTAAAGGACATTAGAGACCCAGATGGGTTTTCCCAACAATCAACAATGGATTCACAGTTATCATTAGAATCTTAATTCCAGATATTTATTGAATTCAAATTCCACCATCTGCCATGGTTGGATTCAAACCCTGGTTCCCAGAACGTTATCTGGGTCTTTGGGTTAACAGTCCGCCGATAATACCACTAGGTCATCCCCTCCCCCTAAAATAGTTTGACTTATCATTCTGTCAATTTCAAAGGATAGAAGTTTGGATGTGATGCTATAACCCTGTTTGGTGCTACTGCCATTAACCAATTTCAATTCACTCCCACATGCTTTAGGCTAAATTAATACATGAGGCATTCAGCCAGCTCCTCGCACACCATAATGCCATGTGGAATCATGAGCATAGTTTACTCTGAGAAGCAAATGTGCCTTGGCAATTAAAATCCAACAGTGCATACGCACAGATTGGTTAATTCTAACAGACTGTCCATGTTCTTACATTTTCTGAATTTGATATTATGTGAAATGGGTTTCTTGCAGGTACCAATCTTAGAAGTGTTCTCATAACCTTTCAGTCTAAGAGACACATTGCAAAAGCTGGCATTAATCCAGGAAATTCATAATCACCATTGATCTTAAGGAAGTGATGGAACTATGGTAGTTTCAGCAAGGGGATGGTGGAGCTGCACACAAAAGCCCCTGGAAATTGCACTGAGGTAATAGTAATGGAGCAAGTCATTGACTCAATAATTTCCTCTTTCTTCTGCCACATTCAAAGGTCTCTACATCTAGGATGTGTCTTTGCAGCAGCTCATGTCCCAAGATATTCTGCATGATGACCTAGAAAGCAATCTCACCATATGCAACAAAGTTACCACTCCATGATTTATGAGTTAAGATTTAAGTCAATAGTGTTTCTAAAGAAAAATTCCAACTGATTTGGCTGATGGCTTGGGACAGTTATTTCTCTAAACTCCATGTAGTTTTGATGGTTTTCTGTTCGTTTTATATTCATTTAAATTTATATTCATTTTCTATTAATTTTATATTCCCTTAAATTATTAGAAATTCTGAAATCAATGGCACCCAGTGTCCAATTTTTGACACCAACATCCCTTTACTCAAACACCGAAGTGCATTTCCTTCTCTATCACCGAAAGGGTGTGAATTAATTGTGCCTTCAATTATTTGTTCGCAAACTCTGCCTCTTTCTTGAGCCTTCATATTACTGACAGTAGACTTTCTCAGCTTCAAATAACCACTTTTAAAGGTTATAACCAAACTCTCCCAGTCTGGAACTTTAATAAAACAATTTCTCACACAGAGGTAATCTAATTTTTAACAGTTCTAAGCCATCTTCCTTCTTTAGGTGCAATTGTTTCAGAAATCTATTTTTAGCCAACACTTCTGTAAAACTGCCAGGCTGACCCTAAAAACATTTCCAATCTATAATTGTTTCCGTCAGTTATAAGAAAAAGCCATTTCCAGAGCTTTCTAACTGAAGCCTAATGCCTATATTGCTTATTCTGTGCTTATAAACGTCCCTCAATGTAAACAAATTTCCATTAACCTTCAAGAGCTAGTTCTCTCATACTATTTTTTTTTAAATTTGATACCACGTTGGCTACAAAAATACTTACAAGTTAATCATTAAACCTTTTCATATACAGGAAACCCACATGCCACTAATTCAATATTCAAAATGCAAAATAAATGATATTTAAACATATACAGGTCACAGATCTTGCATTACAGAATCAAGACCAACAATAATCTAGGCTGAAAAATCCAGTGACTACCAAAGGAGGAGTTCATAGTTGAAGGTGCCATAAGTCAAATATGATGTTAAACTGAGGTCCTTGCTCCCTTCTCCGTTGTACATAAAATATCACAGGGGCACTATTTCAAAGGAGAGATAGGGATTTCTCCACAATTATCTGACCATCTTTTATCTAAAACAGATCATCTGGTCATTAGCATATGACTTTTTTGTGGGATATTGTTGTATGCCATATCATCCTACATTACAATAGTAAAGATGTTGAAAAGAAGTGGCTCAAAACTGATTTGGCAAATCTCGAGGCAATAAAGGACATCTATCATAAATGGACGAGGTGTGTGTGCGCATGTGTGTGAGACTTTTTTTATCATGAAGCTCCTACTGGAGCTTTTTGATGTGGAGTGTGATGTAACAAAATGATCATCATCGCTTCCTGAGTTGATTAGACTAACTAAAATTCAGCTACCATAAGCCTCCGAATAAATGGACAACAAAAACCGTTTTATTACAGGAGCACAAGATTTTACTGGAGTTTTTCAAAGGAGAGTGTGATGCAGAAAACTGATTGCCATGAGTTCCCATATTAATTAGATTGATGAAAATTTAGCTACCACAATCCCCTGAATATTTTTTTTTATCTCTACTTCTTAGCGCTGCATTAGCTATTGAAATGGTGGCAAGTGCAGGAATGGTTTAGGGGAGCAAAACAATCAAAAGATTTTGAAATATTAAAGTGTAGAAAGCTGGGACAGGAATGCATCATTTGCTTCTCTCAATTGAGGACCTTTTTCAATCAACATTTGAAGAAAGTGGAGCATTCTTGAAGTCTTTCAGATGGCGGTGAAGAAAAGAATAAGGAAAAATATTTGTGGCAACAATCTGGAAATGTACAGCTTTGTTACTGTTTCCACTGCAATAAGAGGTGATGGGAAGACAATGGCCTAATGTTATAATCACTGGACTGTTAATCCAGGGGCCTAGGTAATGTTCTGAGGACCTGGGTTTTAATCCCACCATTGCAGATGGTGAAATTTGAATTCAATAATTTTTCTTTAAATTTGGAATTAAGAGTGTACTGATGTCCCTGAATCCACTGTCTATTGTCGGAAAAATCCATCTGGTTCACTAATGTCCTTTAGGGAAGGAAACTGCCATCCTTACCAGGTCTGGCCTACATGTGACTCCAGACCCACAGCAATGTGGTTGTTTCTTAACTGCCCTCTGGGCAATTAAGGATGGGTAATAAATGCT